ACAGTCCAACTCTCACATCCATACATGACCACTGGAAAAACCATAGCCTTGACCAGATGGACCTTTGTTGGCAAAGTAATGTCTCTGCTTTTTAATATGCTATCTAGGTTGGTCATTACTTTTCTTCCAAGGAGTAAGCATCTTTTAATTTCATGGGTGCAATCACCATCTGCAGTGATCTTGGAGCCCCCCAAATAAAGTCAACCACTGTTTCCACTGTTTCCCTATATATTTGCCATGAAGTGATGGGACCAGATGCCATGATCTTAGTTTTCTGAATGTTGAGCTTTAAGCCAACTTTTTACTCTCCTCTTTCACTTTCATCAAGAGGCTCTTTAGTTCTTCACTTTCTGCCATAAGGGTGGTGTCATCTGCATATCTGAGGTTATTGATATTTCTCCCGACCATCTTGACTCTGGCTTATGCTTCCTCCAGCCCAGCATTTCTCATGATGTATTCTGCATGTAAGTTAAATAAGCTCAACCACCTATTTACTCTCCCTCTCGGTAACCCCTCAAGATGAATGGAGGTTGCAGGATCTCCTAAAGGGAAACTGGATGGGCTCAATAGTTGAGAGAGAAAGAGAGAGAGAGAGTGTGTGTTAACTCGACAATTCCCTGAGGTCTGGGTGGAAGACAATCCCTCCAGGCTTACGAAACAAGTTCCACTGGTAATAGAACTCAAACCCTATACAATTACATCAGCACTCGCCTTGGGCCTGCCAGACCTTGCTAAGCCCTTAACTCTCAGTGAATGTAAAGGACAAGGTGGCTATGGGCGTGTTGTCCCAGACCATGCGGACATGGGATAGACCCGAGGCTTAGCTCTCAAATTGGCTGGACAGTGTTGCCACTGGGTGGCCGAGATGTTTTTGGGCAGTTACTGTGGTTGCCTTACTGGTCCAGGAGGCAACCAAGCTGACTTTGGGCCAACATTTGATTATAAAAGTCCCACATGAGATCAACACTCTCCTGCGAGGGGACCTACATACATGACTGTTGACATCCTGGATTACTCAGTACCAGGGACTATTACCCCACGTTACTACCGAGCTTTGTCAGGTCTTGAATCTGGCCACTCTCCTTCCTGTGAGAGAAGGTGGGCACTCAAATGAGTACCAGGAAATCCTAGAAGAAGTTTACGCCAGCAGACCTGACTTGAGAGACCAGCCAAACCTGGACCCAGATTTGGTCCTGTACACCAATGGCCCCAGCCTGGTGAAACGAGGACAATGACTGTCGGGATATGCAGGGGTCATGGAAGAAACCATCATTGAGGCTAGCTCTCTGCCATCACACTGGTCCGCTCAACGGGCCAAACTATATGCTCTGATCCGGGCCCTCCAGCTGTCAAATGGTAAGAAGACAAACATTTACACAGACTCCAGGCATGCTTTCGCCACATTACATGTACACAGGGCTCTGTATAAGGAGAGAGGCCTTCTGACAGCTAGTGAAAAAGATGCTAAAAATAAGGAAGAAATTCTGACCCTATTAGATGCTGTCTGGGAACCAGAAAGGGTCGCAGTCATACACTGCCGAGGACATAAAAAAAAAAGATGCCTCCCAGGCTCGGGGAAACAGACTGGTAGATAAGACCACTAAACAAACAGCTGAGGGCTTGGGGGCGACAAGTGAAGCCCCTATTAAAGCTCTCGTATTGGCAGAGCTGCCTGAACTAACGCCGGACTCTCCAAAATGTGCTGAAGCCCAAAACCAACTAGCCAAAGCGGAAGGGGCCATCGAGACTGAAAAGGGATGGTGGGAATTGCCAAGTGGCAAATTATTGGTACCAGAGGAGCTGGCACCCACTCTGGTGAACCAAACTCACCAAGCGACCCACCTAGGCCATGATAAACTGGAAGAGCTAATTTGAAAATATTTCTTGGGTCCCCACTTCTCTTCCCTATGCAGGACGGAATCTCAGGGCTGCACTGCCTGCTCACAGGTCAATGTTGGCTCTCGGCACAGACAGAAACCTCCAGGGATTCAGGTAAAAGGCACGCTGCCCTTTGAACACCTAGAAGTGGACTTCACTGAAATGAAACCTCACCGACACTACCCTTACCTGCTGGTCATGGTATGTATGTTCTCGGGATGGGTAGAAGCTTTTCCTTCCTGGACTGAAAGAGCATCAGAAGTAGTCCAGTGCCTGCTTAGGGAGATAGTTCCCAGATTTGGATTTCCTACCAGCATTGGATCGGACAATTGCCCGTCTTTTGCAGCTGGTTTAGTACAACAAGTAAGCAAAACTTAAAACATCAAATGGAAACTGTACATTTCATATAGGCCCCAGAGTTCTGGGATGATGGAATGAACCAACCGGACACATAAAGAGACACTCTCCAAATGGATCAGAGAGACTCACTGCTCTGGGTGGACTTGCTTCTGATGGCTCTGCTCAGACTCAGGATGACCCCACAGTCCCATGGCCAATCTCCACATGAAATTGTGTATGGGAGGCCCCCACCCGTAATAAAACAGGTATCAACAAATTTGCCTCGGTAAGGGGACATGAGATTTCACAGCAGATGGAACAACTGGGTAAGATAATAAATCAGGTAACTAAGTTTGTACAAGAAAGGGTGCCGTTCCCCCTTGGGGAACAGATTCATGAATTTGTGCCTGGTTATCAGGTGTGGGTCAAGAAATGGAAACATGCCTCCTTGACCCCACATTGGAACAGTCCATATACTGTTGTTCTAACCACCCCTACTAAGTTGCAGGTATCACTCCCTGGATCCACCACACCAGGGTGAAAAGAGCATACCACACAGACCTGGAGGACGCCAAGTGTTCTACACAAAAGGACCCCACTGATCCCCATGAAACCAAGATCATCTTAAAAAAGAAGAAGAGATGAAGCTCTACAATCTGCTGCTGCTACAAGGACTTGCCAGTATCAGCACAAAGAGGGACCTGTGCTATAATTAAAGTTGAACATTGTGTGTATATTCCTGATTTATCTGGCAATGTATCAGCTGCTTTAGATGACATGAAAACCCAGGTAAAAGCAAGGTCATGCGAAAACATTCCTTTCTGGACTTCAGTCCTATCTTGGGTGAAGGGTGATTTGTGGAAAACTATATTTACCATTGCTATAGTTCTGCTTTGTGGATCCTACATTTTATAATGTATTATGAACTTTGAAACCCAAAGGTGGGTGTCGCTCTCCCAAATTGGTGGTCGGAAAGCCACCAATAGGGTGTAATATATCCCTATGAATGATGCTCATACTATGAATTAAGAGCATCAAGGGGGGGGGGAGGGAATGAAGGAGGAAACAGACAGAACAGGCTCCATCTTAAAAGCAGGACTCCATCTTGGGCTGGACTGTGGACTTTGAGCTCTATGCCCAGTATCTGTGGAAATGGCATACCAACTGGAAAACCAGACCCCCCAGAAGGAAGAGCCCCAGAGTTCATACCTAGACTCTCCGTCGCCTAAAAGGATACCCTAATTATTTGTGTAACCGAATAGAATCATAAATTCTATTATGCTTATTGGGGTATGGCCACAGGCCTATGGATAACTGTGACTGTTAACTATCTAGGCTTAAAGCATATGAATCATGGGTTAACTCTGATTGTATCTTTCTTTTCCTTTGTTCAGACTAGTTTCAGGGAATTTGGGGAACTGGCTACAACATCAAGACACACTGGTTGATTCCTGCGTTGGAAAGATCCTTTGGAGTAGGAAATGTCAACCCACTCCAATGTTATTGCCTGGAAAATTCCATGGATAGAGGAAACTGGAGGGCTACATACAGTTCATGGGGTTGCAAAGAGTTGAACGGGACTGAGAATGGAGCCACGAACGTGAGCGGAAGAAAGAACAACAGTAAGAAGCAGACAAGTTAGGAGAAGTTGACTCATGCTTGAAAAAGAGTAAAAATAATGAGTTTATTTTGCGTGAAATTCTTATATTCACCATCATGACCATCCATCATCATTAGGATCCGTATCAAGGAGTGATTGCAATTTAAGAAATTGCAAAAGTAGGGAACTACATAACTGGTCACCACGTTAATATCTTTAATTAGAAAGTCTCTTGAGATGGCTTTGAAACTGATTTTTAAAGTAACTTACATTCACAAGCAGGAAAAAAGAAATCGATAATCGTGTGGATTCCTTGAAGACCTTAAAATGGGATCCTAGACAGCATGTTTCGATACAGAGCGGCCATTCCTTTCCTAACCACCGGGTGGCAACCAAGTGCCAGTGTCACTTTCTTGTCTGTCCCTACCCTTTCCTACGCGGGCGCGGCTTCCGGCTCTCCGGGCTTCCGGGCTCCCGAGCGCGCACGTCACAGAGTCTCCGCCGCGCCCGTCTGTCAGCAGTGGCTCAGCTGCCGAACGTTGGCCGGACTCTGAGGGACCTAGCCTCATGTGGAAGCTGGTCCCGGCCGCGGGCCCTGCCCGAGGTAAGGACAAAAGGTGGAAACGCGGGGGCCCGATTTCTCGAGAGCAGCTGCGGCAGGCGAGGGGTTTGCGGAGCGCACTTCCGGTCCGTCGTCGCCTCTTCCGCCGCCTTCCCGCGCTGCCTCCGGTCGCGCCCTGAGAGGTGGCGGGAACGGGCGCGAAGGCTGCGTGAGGGCCTGCGCGGTCTTCCAGGCGGGGGCTGCAGTGCTTGCGAACCGGGCTACGGCCTGGCGGGTGGGATAGGCGTGGGGCGCTGGGCAGCTCAGTGATCGCCCGGGTCCTTTCAGTCCGGTCGGCCGCCCCACCTGGCGGGCCCGGCTCGGAGCCGGGTTTCGATGATGCGCTCCATTGAGCCTTGGCCGGGTACCCAGTTGTGACAGCTCGTGTTTTCAAGCTTTTGAGGAAACGCTCAGAATACTTTGACAGAGGCTCCAGGACCTTGGCGAGCACGTCGTTTATTTTTGTTGGGAGCCACGGAGATAACTTGTGTCAATGGCAACTACGGGAAAAGAGTTTAAGCTTTGTTTCCAAGCTTTTTTTTTTTTTTAACCTTTTGGTCATCAGAACAACAGAAAGTTTTTTGCTTTTGTTTTTTCCTCTTTTGCATTTCTAGCAATGGAAGATGGAAATTGCATGTAAATTGGTTGCCTAGAATGTGTAAGCACTTGTTAGTTGGTAGCTAAGCGGGTGTAGCCTGTGATTGGTCTAGCCCTCAGGAAGTTTACATTGTGATTGAAAAAAAAGATCTCTGTAGAAGCTAAATGGACCGGCTGTGTAAGGCCGTATGGAGAGACCCAGACGAATGGTAAGGAAAATAAAATCTGTAATAATACTGTAAGTAATATTACAAAGACTCAAAGATAAGGCGCTTTGTGGATTTGGAGCATTGCAGAGATAGAACATAAACTGTGATGGACGAGTTTCCAGGAACATTTCTAGCCTGTGGCTGGCTTTTTGAGTTCGCCTAAGAAAAATGCCCCTAGTGCCAATGGGTAGCATTTTTACCTTTCAGAGGATCTTGAACTGTTTTCAGAATGCAATGGAAGCTACGGGGTGCCATCCTTCTAGGGAAAATGTGACTAAAGCAACCGCAAAAGTTTTTTGTTGAAAGACTCCACTCTAGGTTAAAAATCTGTTTGACAAAGTATAATCTAAGTCTGGTCAAGGCTTACCTGGACTCTTTTCTACTTGTCTAATTTAACTGCTCTAATTATCCTATCATTCCAGTGGTCCCAGACTAAACTCTGCTAGTCTTCAACATATATGCTGTTCCAGAAAAAATTTGTGATTTACAAAATTTTTTAATAACCCTGTCCCATTGTTCTAAAAGTTACCTTTAACGTAAAAAAAATTCCCAAAATTATGCACTTGAACCTGGTTTGGAGTTTTCTTGCAGTGATCTATATTATTTACTCTTCATGCGATACCATACTTTTTAACTGCTATCACTTTATGGGATATTTTGCCAACTGGTAGAGAAAGTTCCCCTAATAATTACATTTTTCTTGACAGTTTTTCACATTATATTTTTCTGACGGAATTTTGAATTTGTTTATCAAGCGCCAGACAGTATTTTGATTTTGTTTGGTGATGCATTAAATGTATAAGTTAATTTGGGCAAGCACTGACAATTTTCAAAATTATTTTCTCTTTAGAAAAGTGGTAGAGCATTCTGTTTAGATTTGCCTCCTTCAGTGAAGCTTTAATAGAAAACATGTTTGATTTACATAAAGTTGATTGTTAGCATTTAAATAGCAAAATAAAAATATTTAAATATTTGCCATACCTATGTATAATTACATGTTTATGTTTATGTGTATCTGTAAATTTACTTTTTTAAAAAATGTCTTAGAACCGTACAGACTTTTGACTGGTGTTGAGTACATCGTTGGAAGAAAAAACTGTGGCATTCTAATTGAAAATGATCAATCGATCAGTCGAAATCATGCTACATTAACCTCTAACTTTTCTGTAACCAACCTGGTAAGTCACTATTTCATTTGCTGACAGTAAGGGAATTGAAGTCACCACAGATTACCTTGGTGTATATGTAAGAGAGAGTTTTGGAGACTTTTCATTTTATAGAACTGTTTTCTTTAAATGTTAGCAAAATTAAATATGTTTTGGCAGTTGTACTGGTGGTATTTGTTTATTTTGAGATTTGAAGTTTCTATTTCAGTATTGTACTGTTTGCTTTAGTGACTGAGAAACTCAAATGAAGTAGACCATATGTATATTTACTTGAACATTTATTGAGTGATTTTTGTTGTTGTCATTGTTCAGTTACTAAGTCATGTCTGACTCTTTGCAACCGCATAGACTGCAGCATGCCATCCTCCCCTGTCTTTCACTGCCTCCCAGAGTTTGCTCAAATTCATGTCCATTGACTCAGTGATGCTATCTAACCGTATCATCTTCTCCCATCCCCTTCTCCTTTCCTTTCGACCTTTCCCAGCATCAGGGTCTTTTCCAATGAGTTTCTTCACATCAGGTGGCCAAAGTATTGAAGTTTCAGCATCAGTTCTTCCAGTGAATATTCAGGATTGATTTCCTTTCAGGTTGACTGGTTTGATTTTGCAGTCCAAGGGACTGACAAGAGTCTTCTCCAGCACCATAATTCAAAAGCATCAATTCTTTGGTGCTTAGCCTTCATTAGGGTCCAACCCTCTCATCCCTACATGACTACTAGAGAAACCAGAGCTTTGATTATGTAGACCTTTGTCGGCAAAGTGATGTCTCTGCTTTGCAATAATACACTGCCTAGTTCTGTCATACCTTTCCTTCCAAGGAGCAAGCATCTTTTAATTTCATGGCTGCAGTCAACATCCACAGTGCTTTTGGAGCCTAAGAAAATAAAATCTGTCACTGCTTCCACTTTTTATCCGTTTACCATGAAAGGATGAGTTTGGATGCCTTGATCTTAAGTTTTTTGAATGTTGAGTTCCAATCCAGCTTTTTCACTCTCCTCTTTCACCCTCATCAAGAGGCTCTTTAGTTCCTTTTCACTTTCTGCCATTAGAGTGGTATCATCTGCATATCTGAGGTTGTTGGTATTTCTCCTGGCAATCTTGATTCCAGCGTGTGATTCATCCAGCCTGACATTTTGCATGATGTATTCTGCATGGAAGTTAAATAAGCAGGGTGACAGTATACAGCCTTGTACTCCTTTCCCAGTTTTGAACCAGTCAGTTGTTCCGTGGCTGATTCTAATGTTTGGTTGTTTTTTGAAACACGTACAGATTTCTCAGGAGATAGGTAAGGTGATCTGGTATTCCCATCTCTTTAAAAGTTTCCACAGTTTGTTGTGATCCACATAGTCAAAGGCTTTAGCATAATCAGTGAAACAAAAGTAGATGTTTTCCTGGAATTCCTTTGCTTTCTCTATGATCCAGTGAATGTTGGCAGTTTGATCTCTGGTTCCTCTGCCTTTTCTAAACCCAGCTTGTACATCTGGGAAGTTCTTGGTTCTCGTACTGCTGAAGCCTAACTTGAAGGATTTTGGCCTTAACCTTACTAGCATTTGAAATGAGCACAATTGCATGTTTGAACATTCTTTGGCATTGCCCTTGTTTGGGATTAGAGTGACAGCTGACCTTTTCTAGTCTTGTGGCCACTGCTGAGTTCTGCAGATTTGCTGTCATATTGCGTGTAACACTTTAAAAGCATCATCATTTAGGTTTTTAAATAACTCAGCTGAAATTCTCTCACCTCCACTAGCTTTGTTTGTACTAGTGCTTCCTAAGGCCCACTAGACTTCACATTCCAGGATGTCTGGCTATAAGTGAATGATCACACCACTGTGGTTATCCAGATCATTGAAACCTTTTTTGTATAGTTTTGTGTATTCTTGCCATCTCTTAAAATCTTCTGCTTCTGTTAGGTCCTTAGCATTTCTGCCCTTTATCGTGCTTATCTTTGCATGAAATGTTACTTTAATATCTCCAATTTTCTTGAAGAGATCTCTAGTCTTTCCCATTCTTTTGTTTTCCTCTATTTCTTTGCATTGTTCATTTAAGAAGGCCTTATCTCTCCTTGCTGTTTTCTAGAACTCTGCATACAGTTCGGTATATCATTCCCTTTCTCCTTTGCCTTTCGCTCCTCTTCTTTGCTCAGTTATTTGTAAAGCCTCCTCAGACAGTCACTTTGCCTTCTTGCATTTCTTTTTCTTTGGGATGGTTTTGGTTGCTGCCTCCTGTAGACTGTTACGAACTTCTGTCCTTAGTTCTTCAAGCACTCCATCTACCAGATCTAATCCCTGAATCTATTCATCTCTTTCACTGTATAATCATAGGTCACACCTGAATGGCCTAGTGGTTCTCCCTACTTTCTTCAACTTAAGCCTGAATTTTGCAGAAAGGAGCTCATGATCTGAGCCACAGTAAACTCCAGGTCTTAATTTTTGCTGACTGTATAGATCTCCATCTTCGGCTGCAAAGAATATGATCAGTCCATTTCTGTATTAACCATCTGGTGATGTCCATGTGTAGGGTCGTCTCTTGTGTTGGAAAAGGGTGCTTGCTATAACCAATGTGTTCTCTTAGCAAAACTCTGTTAGCCTTTGCCCTGCTTCATTTTGTACTACAAGGCCAAATTTGCCTATTGCCTCAGGTATCTGTGGACTTGCTATTTTGCATTCCACTCCCCTGTGGTGAAAAGGATGTCTGTTTTTGGTGTTAGTCCTAGAAGGTCTTGTCGGTCTTCATAAGACCAGTCAGCTTCAGCTTCTTTGACATCAGTGGTTGGGGCATAGACTTGGATTACTGTGATGCTGAATGGTTTTCTTGGAAACAAACGGAGGTCATTCTTTCATTTTTGAGATTGCACCCAAGAACTTCATTTCAGACTTTCGTTGACTATGATGGCTACTCCGTTTTTCTAAGGGATTCTTGCCCACAGTAGTCGATATATTGGTCATCTGAATTAAATTTGCCCATTCCTGTCCATTTTAGTTCACTTACTCCTAAGATGTCAATGTTCACTCTTGCCATCTCCAGCTTAACCACTTCTACTTTACCATGATTCATGGGCCTAACATTCCAGGGTCCTATGCAATATTGTTCTTTACATCATTGGACTTTACTTTCTCCACCAGACACATCCACGACTGAGCATCATTTCTGCTTTGACCCAGCTGCCTCATTCTTTCTGGAGCTGTTAATAATTGCCCTCCTCTCTTCCCCAGTAGCATATCGAACGCCTTCCAACTTAGGGGGCTCATCTTCTCAGTCATGTCTTTTGCCTTTTTCATGCTGTCCCTGGGTTCTTGTGGCCAGAATACTGGAGTCGTTGCCATTCCTCCCCCTCGGTATGTAAGCACTCAACATGTTGAATGCTTACTGTGTGTCAGCACTGTGCCACAGCATGGGAACAGAGCAGTGGGTGGACTCGTGACTCCTCCTTTAAAGAGTTCTGTAGCCATATGAACACTCGTATTTGCCGTATATCTTAGGTTTTCAGAAGGAGAATGATTTGCTTTACTATCCCTAGTAAACAGTTGGTATATATGCCCCACAGCTCCTTTGAATGACTGAGTTTGTTTTGGTCTGTTGGTTGATTTAATTATAAAGGTGGACTTATAATAAACCAACCAAAACACATATATAATTAAACCAGCCAAAACAACACACATATATATATCCAAGAGCTGTGCTCATGGTAATGCTGGTGGTAATGATGAAAGAAAAACCACTATTTTGAGGTAAGATTGTATCAGCAGCAAACATTGAATCTGTTCAGTAATGTTTAGGTTTTGTGTCTGTATTCTTTTAGATTTAAAAAAAAAGCATTATTGTTAAAAATCTTAAAGAAAAAATAGGATTGTTACTTCAGGTTAAACACTCTGGCCTTTTCTCGTTGGACTGATTTTTTTTCTATGTGATTTTGATGATATTAAAAAAAAACAAAAACCTTAGGAATGAAACTGCCATGTTACATATGAAACAGTGTGTACAAAAGCAGATAGTCTTCACATTGAGAGGTCAGGAAAATCTCCACTGACTTAGCAAAAATAAAGAAAATATATGTTCTAAGAGGAATGATTCTGAAATTAAGACAGTTTTCTCTTAATCGCTAGTTGAGTAATCATTCTTCCATGCAACCAAAACAATAACTGTATTGTGTACTGTGTTGGGATGTTAACCACCCATCACCTATTCCAAAAGTTATCAACCTTTTCTTTTGAAACTTTTGCCCTTAGGAATAGTATTTATGGAGTAGTAAGAGACTTTATTTATTTATTTATTTTTTTTTTTAGAGTCAAACAAATGAAATTCCTGTACTGACAATAAAAGATAATTCTAAGTATGGTACCTTTGTTAATGAGGAGAAAATGCAGAATGGTCTTTCTCAAATTTTGAAGTCAGGGGATAGAGTTACCTTCGGAGTGTTTGAAAGTAAATTCAGGTAAGAATTTTGAAATTGATATTAAAATGGACAACTTTATTTTGGACCAATCAAATTCTAAAGGAAAAGGATTTTATAAATAATGAATTGGAGCTAGTCTATTTAGATCCTACTTAGCATAGTAGGATGGAGAAGGCAGTGGCACCCCACTCCAGTGCTCTTGCCTGGAAAATCCCATGGAAGGAGGAGGCTGGTGGGCTGCAGTCCATGGGGTCTCTAAGAGTCGGACACGACTGAGCGACTTCACTTTCACTTTTCACTTTCATGCATTGGAGAAGGAAATGGCAACCCACTCCAATGTTCTTGCCTGGAGAATCCCAGGGACGGCGGAGCCTGGTGGGCTGTCGTCTATGGGGTCGCACAGAATCAGACACGACTGAAGCAACTTAGCAGCAGCAGCATAGTAGGATAGTAGTGAATTTTGCCTGGTAGTGAACTTTGCACTGTATGTGGTTAGTGCATTTTGTTAATCATACCTAACTGACCAAAAGTGAATGAGAATTTGAGTGGGCCCTGAGAATCTTGATGGAGCTACTTTTGATTGATTCTGCATAGGTCAAAATGTACTGTTAAGCTTTTGATCATTGGTTTTTTTCTTAATTGCAACTTAAGACTGATAGTTTTCTTGGAACTAAGTTGGAACATGTAGTAATACATAAAAATCAAAATAACAGTGTGTGATGTGAGCTTGAGTTTACTATACAATAAATTTATGTAACTTATTTTTATTTACAGAGTAGAGTATGAACCTTTGGTTGCATGCTCTTCTTGTTTAGATGTCTCTGGAAAAACTGCTTTAAGTCATGCCATATTGCAACTCGGAGGACTTACTGTAAACAATTGGACAGAGGAATGTACTCACCTTGTCATGGTATCAGTTAAAGTTACCATTAAAGTAAGTTCAGTGCATTGTTATTATGTTAAAGTAAGTTCTGTAAATTTAAGTTTTTTCATTTACCCACTATACAAAAATGTCTTAAAAGTCATTTACTTTAAAATTATCTGAACTGTTGGTTGTAGATATGTATATGCCAAACAACTCCATACCTACCGTATAGGCTAAGAATGGTTTTTCAGAAACATTGTTTATTATCTACCGCAAGCAAAAAGCACATGAAATTATATTTCAAATTTTGATTTAGCATTTAAATGATTTATGTAATCCTTTCACCAAGAAATGTTTTCAGTCTAAAAGCAAAGCATTTAGAGATCAACTGCCCATCTTCAAAGTAAGCAGTCTATGTCTTTTCTTCTTCTCGTCTCTGATATATCTTACTGTTTCATGCTCTTTTGTTTAATTTTTATTTGGCTTTAGGCCCTAATCACAAAAACTTTTTTTATAGTTTAATATTACCTTAATGAACTGTCACAGTCTAGAGATACATAGATATATGCTTTTAGAAGATGCTATTTGTTAAAATAGTGGTATATTTTAGTATGTTTTCAGATTTTGCATCTTCATCAGATTTGGTTAATCCAAAGCTAACTGAAGAATGACTTTGGGAGGTGATTTGTCTCCTTTCAACAGTTTGTCTATAGATAATCTGAGATTGTTTTAGGCTTATATCTATGGTGAAAAGCAACAAATATTTAGATTCCTTTATTAGATGATAAAATCCTTTGCCATATAATTAATTAAATTAGAATATGTGTGTTATAGCTAAATAGGTGTCATAGAGAAAGAAAGGTTTGCTGTTCAGATTGAACCTCATGTTAAACTTGTGTCTTGGTGGGGTTTTCTCTGATCAGAAATTGTTCATCTTTGTAAGTTTATGAAATTGATTTATAAATTCAACAGAGTGATTAGCTTCTTGAGTACTAATTTATGCTAATAAACCCAGATAATAGATTCATAATTCAGAATGTCCATTTATTAATTTACAGTAGAGATACACCTTTATAGTGACCAGAACGTTTACATATGGCTCCAGCTTAGTCCCCTTAAAGATACCAAGGTCCCTGAGAAATGAAATAGGTAATCACGCCCTTGCTTGGTGAATATAAAGCAAGAGCAAAGTCAGTCAGTTAGGTGGTCTTGAAAGAAAAGGGAACGTAAACATTCAGTTCAGCTTTTGTTTTCTAAAGAGGACACTGAGGCTTGGAGCAATTAAATCCTTTGCCCAAGATCACATGTATTGGAGCTTACTCAGTCCAGTGTTGAATTGCTCATTACTGCTTCATGCAGGAAGTCAATTATTTCATTCATATTTGAGGTTCATAACTTTCAGATTCCATTCTTGAGAGATACCCTAAATTGCTTGCTCACATTTAGGTAATTCCCCATGTTTATTAGAAACATACTTAGAAGTTCTTTAGCTGGATTATTTCTTAGAATTATGCTGAATCTTCTTTATTTTCATTGCCAATGGTGATATTTTTTAATCTTTCTCAAACTGTGGATATAACTTATTTGAGGCTTATGGCTTAATTCACTTGTTAGGTGAAGTTTCTTCTCTACTCCACCTGTGTATACCGTTATTCCTTTATTTACTTTCTTAAAAAGACTATTCCATAATTATTAATATAATCAGTTTGAAAGGCAATTAGGCTGAAAGATCTCTCTCATGTTTATCTCTTGATACTGTCTTCTCTAGGGCAGATGTTACATTTCCTTAATTCTAAGATACATATTTTAATGTTTTTATAATTAGTGTACATTTTTAAATTGACTTGTATTTTGTTATGTTGTTTGGCCCTGCCTCCAGCAGTTTTTACATCAGTACTGTAATTTGTGACTTTTTTTCACCTTTAGTAGTGATTGTTTATTGATACTTGAATTTGCCTATATGTTATGTTTGTTTGTTATTTCACAGGTCTCACTGCTTTTTTAGCATATAGGCCTTTGTTTTGTGGGGGTCTAACTTATATGAGTTTTAGTTACCACAGTTTATTTTTAATTTTTGCTTTATATTGAAATATAGTTGACTTCACAATGTTGTGTTTCAGGTATACAGCAGAGTGATTCAGTTATACATAGACATATATCTATTGTTTTTCAAATTCTTGTCCCATTTAGGTTACTACAGATTATTGAGCAGCATCCGTTGTGCTATACAGTAGGTTATCTATTTTCATTATAGCACTGTGTTTATGTCAGCTCCAAGCTCCCAGTCTATCCCCCCCATATATTGTAATTGGTAGCTTCTTATAATCAAGCAATTATATAGGGATATGTACTCTAAAACTAAGCCATGACCCAAAACTGACTTCTGTTTTATAGATTGTGTCTCTGTTATAAATTTAAAGTGATGCGAGGAAAACTAGAATTTTAAAAAAGCTAGGGTATGAGTATATGTATTCACATGTTTTCTTCTTTTCAGACAATATGTGCACTCATTTGTGGGCGTCCGATTGTAAAACCAGAATATTTTACTGAATTTCTTAAAGCAATTCAGTCCAAGAAACAACTTCCAAAAATTGAAAGGTATATTGTGTATTTGAAATAACAAAATATGACATGCAAAATATGATTGCACTGGCTTGATTTAGGTTAACTACCTCTTTATTGATTGTTTCAGGATATAATGTTGCAGATCAGCATTATTAACGAAATTTTTTTGTTACTGTATGCTGAAAGTTTACCAAGCAATTCTTTGTTGATTTTTCTTTATCTTGGTAAAATAGATGTGACATGTGTGCCAATATTTAAAGAAAAATATTGAAGGATAGTAATGACCCCGAGGTAGGACCAGTGGGCACACATGCTGGTGCCGGGCATCACGACGCAGGGCCCCTGGATTGCGAGGTGCAGCAGCCCTGTTACAGAGCTAAGATCAAGCTTATCGCCTTCTTTGAAAAATGGGGATAGTACGTGCACTGCTCTGTGTTTTAAGTATTTCGTATTATTAGCATTATTTATCTAGTGGTATACACCAAGGCTGAACTTGCTGAACTGTAATAGGTGTTTATTAAATGTAACTGATTGCAATATTTGGAAAGACTCATAATAGCTTTCTTATTTATGTAATTTTTTTGGATGCTATGCTAAATTTGTGAACCACTGAACTAAGATCTATATCTATTGCATTAGTCACGACTGAAGTAACATAAACGGTGGTTTAGGAAGAGGATACTTGTAATTTTTCTTTTTAGATTGCATGGTTAGAATACTGGACACTATAAAATGGGTGAGTGTTTTTAGTCAACATAAGAACATGCTTAAAATGTATGTCAGTAGCTTATAGTCCAAATGACATAACAGGTTTGAGGAAGTTTAAAAAAATCTAAAATTCTATGCAAATTAAGTATTTTACTACAAATTTAAATTAAGTATTAACTGAGTTCAGTTCAGTTCAGTCGCTCAGTCGTGTCCAAAACTTTGAGACCCCATGGATTGCAGCACACCGGCCTCCCTGTCTACCACCAACTGCCGGAGTTTACTCAAACTCATGCCCATTGAGTTGGTGATGCCATCCAACCATCTCAACCTCTGTCATCCCCTTCTCCTCCTACCTTCGATCTTTCCCAACATCAGAGTCTTTTCTAATGAGTCCATTCTTCGCATCAGTTGGCCAAAGTATTGGAGTTTCAGCTTCAACATCAGTCCTTTCAATGACTATTCAGGACTGATTCCCTTTAGGATGGACTGGTTGGATCTCCTTGCTGTCCAAGGGCTTCTCAAGAATCTTCTCCAACACCACAGTTGGAGTTGTTCTTCAGCCCTCAGCTTTCTGTATAGTCCAACTCTCACATTCATACATGACTACTGGAAAAACCACAGCTTTGAGTAGACAGACCTTAGTTGACGAAGTAATGTCTCTGCTTTTTAATATGCTGTCTAGGTTGGTCATAACTTGAATCCTTCCAAGGAGTAAGTGTCTTTTAATTTCATGGCTGCAGTCACCATCTGCAGTGATTTTGGAGCCCCCAAAAATAAAGTCAGCCACTGTTTCTCCATCTATCTGCCATGAAGTGATGGGACCAGATGCCATGATCTTATTTTTCTGAATGTTGAGCTTTAAGCCAACTTTTTCACTGTCCTCTTTGACTTTCATCAAGAGGCTCTTTAGTTCTTCTTCACTTTCTGCCGTAAGGGTGGTATCACCTGCATATCTGAGGTTCTTGATATTTCTCCCGGCAATCTTGATTCCAGCTGGTGCTTCCTGCAGCCCAGCAATTCTCATGATGTACTCTACATATAACTTAAATAAGTAAAATAAAAGTTAAAAAAGTTAAATAAGCACGGTGATGGTATATAGCCTTGACTTACTGCATTTTCTATTTTTGGAACCAGTTTGTTGTTCCATGTCCAGTTCTAACTGTTGCTTTCTCAGCTGCATACAGATTTCTCAAGAGGCAGGTCAGGTGGTCTGGTATTCCCATCTCTTTAAGAATTTTCCACCATTTCCACTGGTGATCCACACAGTCAGAGGCTTTGGCATAGTCAATAAAGCAGAAGTAGATGTTTTTCTGGAACTCTCTTGCTTTTTCGATGATCCAGTGAATGTTGGCAATTTGATCTCTGATTCCTCTGCCTTTTCTAAAACAAGCTTGAACATCTGGAAGTTCACATATTGCTGAAGCCTGGCTTGGAGAATTTTGAACATTACTAGCGTGTGAGATGAGTGCAATTGTGTGGTAGTTGAAGCATTATTTGGGATTGGAATGAAAACTGACCTTTTCCAGTCCTGTGGCCACTGCTGAGTGTTCCATATTTGCTGACATATTGAGTACAGCACTTTCACAACATCATCTTTTAGGATTTGAAGTAGCTCAACTGGAATTTCATCACCTCCACTAGCTTTGTTCGTAATAATGCTTCCTAAGGCCCACTTGACTTCGCATTCCAGGATGTCTGGCTCTAGGTGAGTGATCACACCATCGTGATTATCTGGGCCCTGAAGATCTTTTCTGTATAGTTCTTCTGTGTATTCTTGCCACTACTACTTTTTTTTTTTTTGCCACTTCTTAATATCATCTGCTTCTGTTAGGTCTATACCATTTCTGTCCTTTACTGAGCCCATCTTTGCATGAAATGTTCCCTTGGTATCTCTAATTTTCTTGGAGAGATCTCTAGTCTTTCTTGTTCTATTGTTTTCCTCTTATTTCTTTGCACTGATCACTGAGGAAGGCTTTCTTATCTCTCCTTGCTGTTCTTTGGAACTCTGCATTGAAATGGGTATATCTTTCCTTTTCTCCTTTGCTTTTCACCTCTCTTCTTTTCACAGCTATTTGTAAGGCCTCCTCAGACAGCCATTTTGCCTTTTTGCATTTCTTTTTCTTGGGCATGGTCTTAATCCCTGTCTCCTATACAATGTCACGAACCTCCATCCATAATTCATAAGGCACTCTGTCTATCAGATCTAGTCCCTTAAATCTATTTCTTACTTCCACTGTATAACCATAAGGGATTTGATTTAGGTCATACCTGAATGGTCTAGTGGTTTTCCCCACTTTCTTCAATTTAAGTCTGAATTTGGCAATAAGGAGTTTATGATCTGAGCCATAGTTAGCTCCCAGTCTTTTTTTTTTCCCTGACTGTATAGAGCTTCTCCATCTTTGGCTGCAGAAAATATAATCAGTTCTGATTTCTGTGTTGACCATCTGGTGATGTCCATGTGTGGAGTCTTCTCTTGTGTTGTTGAAAAGGGTGTTTGCTATGACTAATGTGTTCGCTTGGCAAAACTCTATTAGCCTTTGCCCTGCTTTGTTCTATACTCCCAAGACCAAATTTGCCTGTTGCTCCAGGTATCTCTGGACTTCTAGTTTTGCATTCTAGTCCCCTATAATGAAAAGGACACCTTTTTTTGCGTATTAGTTCTAGAAGGTCTTGTAGGTCTTCATAAACTGTTCAACTTCAACTTCTTCAGCATTACTGGTTGGGGCATAGACTTGTATTACCGTGATATTGAATGGTTTGCCTTGGAAACGAACAGAGATCATTCTGTCGTTTTTGAGACTGCATCCAAGTACTGCATCTCGGACTCTCTTGTTGACTGTGATGGCTGCTCCATTTCTTCTAAGGGATTCTTGCCCACAGTAGTACATATAATAGTCATCTGAGTTAAATTCACCCATTCCAGTCCATTTTAGTTCACTGATTCCTAGAATGTCTACGTTCACTCTTGCCATCTCCTGTTTGACAACTTCCAATTTGCCTTGATTCATGGACCTAACATTCCAGGTTCCTATGCAATATTGCTCTTTACAGCATGGGACCTTGCTTCTATCACCAGTCACATCCACAACTGGGTGTTGTTTTTGCTTTGGCCCTGTCTCTTCATTCTTTCTGGAGTTATTTCTCCACTGATCTCCAGTAGCATATTGGGCATCTACCTACCTTGGAAGTTCATCTTTCAGTGTCCTATCTTTTTGTCTTTTCATACAGTTCATGGGGTTCTCAAGGCAAGAATACTGAAGTGATTTGCCATTCCCTTCTGCAGTGGACCACATTTTGTCAGAACTCTCCACCATGACCCGTCTGTCTTGGGTGGCCCTACACAGCATGGCTCATGGTTTCACTGAGCTGTGGTCGATGTGATCAGATTGGTTAGTTTTCTGAGATTGTGGTTTACTCATGCTAATTATTTTATTACCAGTTTAAAAATATTGTTTTTGTTGCTTAGTCACTCAGTTGTGTCTGACTCTTTGTGACACCATGGACTGCAGCACGCCAGGCCTCCCTGTCCATCACCAACTCCCGGAGCTTACCCAAACTCAGGTCCATTGAGTCGGTGATACCATCCAACCATCTCATCCTCTGTCGCCCCCTTCTACTCCTGCCCTCAATCTTTCCCAGCATCAGGGTCTTTTCCAACTAGTCAGCTCTTCAGACCTGGTGGCCAAAGTATTGGAGCTTCAGTATCAGTGCTTCCAGTGAATAATAAGAATTTTATTTCCTCTAGGACTGACTAGTTCGATCTCCTTGCTCTTCAAGGGACTTTGAAGAGTTTCCCTAGTACTGGTTCTGGTACTAGGTACTTTCAGTTCTGCAGTGCTCAAGTCTTTTTTATGGTCCAACTCTCAAACCTGTACGTGACTACTGGAAAAGTCTTAGCTTTGACTATATGGACCTTTGCCAACAAAGTGACATCTCTGCTTTTTAACATGCTGTCTAGGTTTGTCACAGTTTTTCTTCCAAGGAGCAAGCATCTTTTGATTTTATGGCTGCATTCATTGCAGTGATTTTGGAGCCCAAGAAAATAAAATCTGTCATTGCTTCCACTTTTTTTTCATTTGCCATGCAGTGTTGGGACCAGACTCCATGATCTTCATTTTTTGAATGTTGAATTTTAAGCCAGCTCTTTCACTCTCCTCTTCACTTTCATTAAAAGGCTCTTTAGTTCCCTTTTGCTTTCTACCATTAGGATGGTATCATCTGCTTATCTGAGGCTGTGGATATTTCTCCTAGCAATCTTTATTACAGCTTGTGTTTCATCCCGCCTGGCATTTCATATGATGTATTCTGCGTATAAGTTAAATAAGCAGGGTGACAGTATACAGCCTTGTCATACTCATTTTCCTGTTTGGAATCAGTCCGTTGCTCCATGTCTGATTCTAACTGTTGCTTCTTGACCTGCATATAGTTTCTCAGGAGGCAGGTCAGGTGGTCTGGTATTCCCATCTCTAAGAATTTTCCACAATTTGTCGTGATCCACACAGTCAAAAGCTTTAGTGTAATCTCCCTTTCTCCTTTAATATATATATGTGTATATGTATATAAATATATATAAAATACTACTAGCTATTTTAAACTAATTTGCCCAGTGCAGATATTTTTAGAAACTGTTTATTCCTGATAATATGTATCTGCTTTTAAAAGCAACTGAACGTCAGATTTTCTCTTTGTTTTCAGTTTTCACTTGGGAGATTTCATGTATTTTATAATCTGGTTAACAGATAATATGCTTTCCTCTAGAACAGAATCATCATATTTTATTTATTTTTCGGCCATACCAAGTGGCTTGCAGGTTTGAACCCAGGCGCTCAGCAGTGAAAGCATGGAGTCCTAACCACTGGGCAACCAGAGAATTCCTGAGGTTTTAAAATAGATGATTCTTAACCTTTTTTGAGTCCTCGATCCCTGTGAGAACTTGAAAGCTGATCTCTCCTCTAGAAACTTCACTTACTATAACTTGAAAGTGAAAGTTGCTCAGTCCTGTCCGACTCTTTGTGACCCCATAGACATAGTCCATGGAATTTTCCAGGCCAGAATACTGGAGTGGGTAGCTTTTCCCTTCTCCAGGGGATCTTCCCAACCCAGGGATCGAACCTGTCTCCCACACTACAGGCAGATTCTAGCAGCTGAGCCACAAGGAAAGCCCAAGAATACTGGAGTGGGTAGCCTATCCCTTCTCCAGAGGATCTTCCTGACCCAGGAATAGATGTGGGGTCTTCTGCATTGCAGGTGAATTCTTTACCAGCTGAACTGTCAGGGAAGCCCAACTTCCTAGTGCCTATTATGAGCCTCCTTAGAAAAGTTGATAAATCCTGTAAATAATGACTCTTGTTACAGCTAATAAACCATTTTAATTCTAGATTACTTAGGAATGGAGGCGTCTGATAAGGTTTTACTACTGGTGATATGTTTTATGGTTTTTGGAGTTTTTAGAATCAGTTATTGATTCTTACTCAGAATCTCAGTGTATTCAACTTGCTTTTTTGTTGTTGTTTTTTTACTTTAGACATAGTTTTTTTCTGACTTCAATTTGTGTGACTCTGTTAGCTTAAATGGGTGTAATAAAACATCCCTCCTCTAAGATTGTTAAATAACTCCTAAGTCAGTGTTTACTAGGAAAGACTATTAGTTCATGTTTGATAATCAAGTTTTAATACTATTTTAAAATATATTGATTTTTGCCTTAATAGATTCCTATACCTATTGGGATCCATTTTGATATGTTTGTGGAAGACTGTGTACTCAGTTAATTAAATAGAAAAAAGATTAAATTTAAGACATTAAATAGTAGTAAGATGGTTTGTAAAAGGATATGAAGTAAACAAAATTGCAAGCAAGCAAACTATAATATTTTTGCCTATAACAGAAAGTGTAGTCCTTTTGTTGCAAGTATGCCTGCTTCTCTGTACTGTTAGCATGAGACAGAGTCCGTCACGGGGAGGATGGAGCACCTGATGTGGTTTGTGATGTCTGGTTTCCTTATACTGTTACAGAAGTACCAATGTAGATGATTCCATTTAAAAGACGTCTTTAATTTTGAGACTCTGTGCTCTCATATAGGAAGTCCATTAAAATATTGTTTATGTCTGAATATTAAAAAAAATGATCCCTCAAGAGAAAAAGGGAGTTTCCCTTTACTTGAAATTTTTCAGGGTTTCCCATTTTGTAGAGTGCCTTGTCAGTTACTTTATTTCAAACAACAAGCATGTTTTTGAGAAAACACTGTTGGAAGAGAGTCCTTACATTATACAAAAGTAGCTGAATATTCCAACAGTATAAGGCCCTGACTGCCCTATACCTCGGCCATTTCTCAGGGTTCTATTTACAGTGAGAAAGCTGGAGGGATGAAGTAGTATCTCCTGCCAAGGACAAAGAGTAGGCCTGCTGAGAGCTTATTATGAAACGCGTGGATTCCTAAGTTCATTGTAACACTGCTCTCGGGAGGTACCGTCCGTGTCAGCCCCGTGGAACTTGGTGTGGAAGGCGGGCTGCTGCAAACACAGCAAGTCTTCCTGCTGGCTTTTCTCTGACCCGGGAGTCTTGTGTCTTCTGCCAACATCCATGAAACGGGTACAGGTTAACTTATTTTCTTGCAATAAAATCTCAGACCCAAGAGATACATTAGCCTGAAACAAACATGGCAGGTGAAAGTTTAGGAAATTATAAAGTTTAAATGTGTATTGGTATCTCTTTGCTTTAATTTGCATTTTCTTGATGATATATGAGGATACTAAGCATCTTTTCGTATGCATATTTGCTCTCTCTATATTTCTTTGAGTAGGTATCTAATAAAGTCTTCAGCTGTTTTTAAAAATCAGGTTGTTTGTTTTCTTTGTTTGTTTGTTTTCTTATTGTTGAATTTTAAGAGTTCTTTATATATTTTTTAATAGTTCTATATCAGATATGTGTTTTGCAAATGTCCTCTCCCAGTCTCTGGTTTGTCTTCTCATTCTCTTGACGTTATCTTTCACAGAGCAGAACTTTTTATTTTTTAATTTTAATGAAGTCTTGCTCATCAGTTATTAATTTCATGGGTCAAGCCTTTGGTGTTATATCTAAAAAGTCATCTGCATGTCCAAGGCCATCTGCATGTGCTCCTATGTTATCTTGTAGGAGATTTATACGTTTGCATTTTATATTTAGGTCTGTGATCCATTGTGAGTTATTTTTTGTGAAAAGTGTATGATCTGAGTGTAAATTCATTTTTTTTGTATGTGAATGTCCAGTTTCACCACCAGTTGTTGAAAAGACTGTGTAAGCTCCATTGTAAAAGATCACTTGACTGTCTTTATCTGAGTCCGTTTCTGGGTTCTCTGTTCTCTTCCACTGATCTGTTTGTCTCTTTTTTTCGTCAGCACCACACTCCCTTGATTAAGGCCACTTTACATTAAGCCTTGAATTTTGGTAGTGTCAGTACTCTAACCTTGTTCTTCCTCATTATTGTGTTGGCTATTCTAAATTTTTTCCCTCTCTGTATAAGCTTTAGAATCCGTTTGTTGATATTCACAAAGTAACTTGCTGGAAGTTACTTGGATTGTGTTTATTTTTATAGCCCAAGTTGGGAAGAACTGACATATTGACAACATTAAGTCTTTCTATCCATGAACATTAGTAATTTTTACTAGAAGGTAGAGAGAGAGACTAAAAGACTGGTTAGTTAATAGCTGTAATGAAAGAGCTGACTATGTAGAAAGTTGAAACTATGGACTGATGAGAAGTTTTAGTCATCATCTATTGATTTTACTTTTCTGTTTTCTTCTATTCCCTAATCTCTATGGATGACTAACATGTGTTTATAGTATTACCTTAAGGAGAGTATTACCTTAAACAGCTAAAAGATTGTATTTTAAAATCTTTGAAAATTTTATTTAAACTGACAGAATATAGGTTCTGAAATTTCCTGAGCTTCTCCAAAGAGATTTATAACAAAGCACAGTGAAGTTTCCCAGGGGGCTCAGTGGTCACGAATCTGCCTGCAGTGTGGGAGAAGCAGCAGACACAGCTTCGATCCTTGGGTTGGGGAGAGCCGAGTAGGAAGTGGCGACCTGCTGCAGCATTCTTACCTGGAAAATTACTAGGCAGAGGAGCCTGGCAGGCTACAGTCGTTGAAGTCTCAAAAGAATGAGACACAGCGGAGAGACTGAGCACACACTCATGCAAGCAAGTCTAATATACAAATAGAATTTGATCTCTAACGTATAATATTTCAACCATTTGTTAGTGTGTTTCTTTTTCTAGTTTTGGTTTTACTTTTATTACTTTTTAAAAACTTCTTTGTATTACTTTTTCTCTCTCAGCCATTTGTAATTCATATAACTGTTTGATTTATATATATTTAATTGTCTCTTGTTATGATTGCCTACTTTTACATTATGTAGTTTTAGAAAATAAAGAATAGTTCTGCTGTTCTATGTTGCACCTGTCACTACATTTATAGTAAAGGCATTTAGGTACTTTCAGTCCTTTAGTCCCAGGTAAAACTCTTTAAGTTTTTAACAATACAGTTGTATTATGGAAATTAAGGCTTTCTAGTTTTCTAGTCCAGATTGCCAAAATCTGTTTACAAATTTAATGTTATATGTACAGTGTAGTATGTAATAATAATATACTTTATTTTTTATAGTTTTTACCCACCTGTTGATGAACCAGCTATTGAAAGTAAAAATATTGATCTATCAGGACGCCAGGAAAGAAAACAAATCTTCAAAGGGAAAACATTTGTCTTTCTAAATGCCAAGCAGGTAGTGTTATAAGCTAAATTTTCCTGAAGAAAATGTTATAAACTAGGATAAATTATTATCAATTATCAGTTTTTATACATTTCTTTTTGAGATCTTGTGTTGATGTCTGAAGGGAAATAAAAAACAGCCCAGGTACCAGAACTTGCCCAGTGTTCATGTACATGACTGTGACATTTTTTAGTATATATTAATTGGCTTATTTATTAAGTTTATATAAATATATACAAGGAAGAGACAAAAAATTTTATTTAACTTTAATTTGTTTGGTTAGTAAGCAGCTGTTGAATATCTTCTATGTGATGAACTGAGAGTTCCAAAAGTTTATGTTATAGGTGGAAAAATGTAAGTAAGCTCACAGTTCCAGAACTGTGTAATGAGGGACTGTAGTGGTACCTGGTGAACTAGGGGTTTTCTCCTAAAGGAAGCTCAGATTGTCCTGTCAAGAAGTAGAATCATTTAATTTTAAACATGTGTTCAAGAAATTAATTATGGCTGTTCATTACTTTTTTCCTTTTTTTCCCCATTTTTAGCATAAAAAATTAAGTGCAGCAGTTATATTTGGAGGAGGAGATGCTAGGTTGATAACAGAAGAAAATAAAGAAGATGATAGTTTCTTTTCAGCTCCTGGAACTTGTGTTGTTGATGCAGGACTAACAGATTCACAGACTTTAATTCCTGACTCTCAGAAAAAATGGATTCATTCAATTATGGATATACTCCAAAGGTACGGAATTATTCTTTATTAGTTTTTTTTTTAAAAGGGAAAGTAGGTTATTCTATATGTAAATTTTTTATACTCCACATAGTAATGTAAAGACATATACAGTCTCAAAAATGACAGAATGATCTTGGTTTGTTTTAAAGCAAACAATTCAGTATCCCAGTAATCCAAGTGTGTGCCTCAACCACTAATGCTGAAGAAGCTGAAGTTGAATAGTTCTACAAGACCTTCTAGAATTAACACCCAAAAAAGAAAACTTTTTCATCATAGGGGACTGGAATGCAAAGTAGGAAGTGAAGAGATACCTGGAGTAACAGGCAAGGCTGTCCTTGGAGTACAAAATGAAGCAGAGCAAAGACTAACAGAGTTTTTGCCAAGAGAATGCACTGGTATAGTAAATACCCTTTTCCAACAACACAAGAGAAGACTCTACATGTGGACATCACTGGATGGTCAATACTGAAAGATGGAGAAGCTTTATACAGTCAGCAAAAGCAAGACCAGGAGCTGACTATGGCTCATATCATGAACTCCTTATTGCCAAATTCAGACTTAAATTGAAGAAAGTAGGGTAAACCACTAGACCTTTCAGGTATGACCTAGATCAAACCCATTACGATTATACTGTAGAAGTGACAGATTCGAGGAATCAGATCTGATGGACCGAGTGTCTGAAGAACTGCGGACTGAGGTTTGTGACATTGTACAGGAGGTGGTGATCAAAACCATTCCTAAGAAAAGGAAACCCAAAAGGCAAAATTGTTGTCTGAGGAAACCTTACAAACAGCTGAGAAGAAGAGAAGTGAAAGGCAAAGGAGAAAAGGAAAGATATATCCATCTGAATGCAGAGTTTCAAAGAATAACACGGAGAGATAAGAAAGCCTTCTTAAGTGAACAATGCAAAGAAATAGAGGAAAACAATAGAATGGGAAAGACTAGAGATCTCTTCAAGAAAATTAGAGATACCAAGGGAACATTTCATGCAAAGATGGGAGCAATAAAGGATAGAAGTGATACGGACCTAATAGGAGCAGAAGATATTAAGAAGTGGCAAGAATATACAGAAGAACTATACAAAAAAAATCTTCATGACCCAGATAACCACAATGGTGTGATCACTCACCTAGAGCCAGACATCCTGGAATGTGAAGTCAAGTGGGCCTTAGGAAGAATTCCTACCAACAAAGCTAGTGGAGGTAATGGAATTCCAGCTGACATATTTCAAATCCTGAAAGATGATGCTGTTAAAAGTGCTGCACCCAATTTGCCAGCAAATTTGGAAAACTCAGCAGTGGCCACAGGACTGGAAGAGGTCAATTTTAGTTTCAGTCCCAAAGAAAGGCAATGCCAAAGAATGTTCAAACTACCACACATTTCCACTCATTGCATGATAGCAAGGTAATGCTCAAAATTCTCCAAGCTAGGCTTCAACAGTACATGAACAGAGAACTTCCATATGTACAAACTGGATTTAGAAAAGGCAGAGGTAACAGATCAAATTGCCAACATTCATTGGATCATAGAAAAAGCCAGGCAATTCCAGAAAGACATCCACTTCCAGCATTCTGGCCTGGAAAATTCCACGGACTGTATAGTCCATGGAGTTGCAAAGAGGGAGACACGACTGAGCAACTTTCACCTTCAGTTTTCATAGGAAAGCAGGAAAAAAAAGGTATCAAATATACTAGAATAGTGTTTGTAATGGGGGGAGGACCATTTGAAAGCACTAAAGCAAGAATTTTTTCCCTGGATTCTTTATTGGTATTAATAATCTTTGCATTTTTGAAGCACAAAGTTAAAAATCAGCCTTGGCAGCCTGGACTAAATTCTTATTCACCAATTAAAAGTTATTAGGGTTTATGGTATTTGTATGTCTAAAATGTCCATAAATAAACAAGCTGCCTCCAGTATTCATTTTTCCTATCCCAGGAGTTCTGACTATGAAGGACTTTTTTAAAAAATGAATTTGCTGAAGTAAAAAGTGAAACTTCAGTCTGTGTCCCATAAATATTTTGCTTAATGGAGATGTAGTAAGTGCTGTGGAAAAGGAGACACCTGTTAACAAAAGCCCCATCGCACCGCTACAGCCCAAGTGTCTAGTTACGTTTTGGGCACTGGGGGTATGGTGGTGAACAAGATAGCCATGGTGCTCTAGGGGAAAATACAGACAGAGGCAAACAGATAACTACAAATGTGTATAAGGAAGCAGAGTGACAGGGCAGGGGGGAGAAGTTTATTCTAAGTAGAGAAAGCTTCTTTCAGGCAGTATTTTACCTATGACCAGTTTTTAAAAGACATGCCGGACAATAGCAATGATACCTTGCTTACTGTAAGCTGGTCCTGTTCTAGGCATTTTACATATATTGAGACATATTTCACATATTTAAGCCACACAGAATCCTGTGTATTTTTTTGTCATGATTCTCATTGTGCAGAAAGGGCATCAGGGGATTTGAGTAGAACATGGGGACTGATAAGGGGAGCCAGCATGTTAACGCACAGAGTCTGGTTCCAGAGCCCATTCCATCTTGCTGCCTTTCATGTATAGGGGCCCTGAGTGAGAACGGAGCCAGGGTGCAAGGTTGCTCAGAGGCTGGTGACCCAATCATCAGGTGACATTTTGTTCTGTAGTCTTCGGCCCCTGTTTCAGTTTGGTTTTGGAGAGAGGATGATTTTACAGTTTGAGAAAGACTATCACTAAAATAACACCTGTCCAGTTAGTCTAAATCATTGATTATCATGGAAAGTGCAGTTATATCAAACCAGTAACATTAGCTATTGACTGAATTTCATGTAATACGCCAACATTGGGATTGGTTAGTGCCATGGTTCTGTTGATTAGTTGTCAGAAGTGGGTATAGGATATCAGTTAAATATCTCTGAAAAAGATTAGAAGTCTAGGGGAACAATATAGCTATGATGTTTGTCCTTGCTGAGATATATTCTCAGTATCTTAGCCCAAATTTAGGAACTCTTCTTGTTGCTGATTTTTTTTCTCTTTATCCTCTCTTCCTTTGCCTTCTTTTCTCACCTGTTCCATGGCTTTGCATAAAATTGAATGAATTACAATCTTCGGATTATATGATACACAGTCATCATTAAACTATGATATATATTCATTTTGTTCACTAATTAGTTATTTTAAATAAATTTCTATTATTGTAAACTGTTGAGACCATCTTTGTATGCTTCCTGCTGGTACATGTGCAGCATTTTCTTTGGGATACTGCATTACTGCATTACTAGGGTTAGAACATTCAGCAGTATCAAAGTGTTTTCCACTTTATACTTCCACCCATGGTATATAAGAGATCAAGTTAGATGCACACAATTTTCAAGACTTGGTATTTTCAGACTATCATTTTTGCCAGTTTCAGTTCAGTTCAGTCACTCAGTCGTGTCCAACTCTTTGCAACCCCATGAACCCCAGCACGCCAGGCCTCCCTGTCCGTCACCAGCTCCCAGAGTCCACCCAAACCCATGCCCATCAAGTTGATGATACCATTCAACCATCTCATCCTCTGTCATCCTCTTCTCCTGCCCTCAGTCTTTCCCAGCATCAGAGTCTTTTCAAATGAGTCAGCTCTTTGCATCAGGTATCCAAAGTATTGGAGTTTCAGCTTCAGCATCAGTCCTTCCAATGAACACCCAGGACTGATCTCCTTTAGGATGGACTGGTTGGATCTTGCAGTCCAAGGGACTCTCAAGAGTCTTCTACAACACCACAGTTCTAAAGCATCAATTCTTCTGCACTCAACTTTCTTCACTGTCTGAATCTCACATCCATACATGACCACTGGAAAAGCCATAGCCTTGACTGGATGGACCTTTGTTGGCAAATATCTCTGCTTTTTAATATGCTGTCTAGGTTGGTCATAACTTCCTTCCAAGGAGTGAGCGTCTTTTAATTTCATGGCTGCAGTCATCATCTGCAGTGATTTTGGAGCCCAGAAAAATAAAGTCAGCCACTGTTTCCACTGTTTCCCCATCTATTTGCCATGAAGTGATGGGACTGGATGCCATGATCTTAGTTTTCTGAATGTTGAGCTTTAAGCCAACTTTTTCACTCTCCTCTTTGACTTTCATCAAGAGGCTCTTTAGTTCTTCTTCACTTTCTGCCATAAGGGTGGTGACATCTGCATATCTGAGGTTATTGATATTTCTCCCAGTAGTCTTGATTCCAGCTTGTGCTTCTTCCAGCCCAGCATTTCTCATGATGTACTCTGCATATAAGTTAAATGAACAGGGTGATAGTATACAACCTTGACGTACTCCTTTTCCTGTTTGGAACCAGTCTGTTCATGTCCAGTTCTAACTGTTGCTTCCTGAACTACATACAGGTTTCTCAAGAGGCAGGTCAAGTGGTCTGGTATTCCCATCTCTTTCAGAATTTTCACGGTTTGCCAGTTTGATGGATATTTAATCATATCTTGTGATTTTGATTTATATTTCTCTGATCATAAGTGATGACTAACATTTCTTCAAATGTTTATTGGACATTTAGTTTTCCTCCTTTGTGAAATACCTGTCTCTCGCCCAGTTTTCTTTTGGGATCATTGTATTCATTTTATTAAGGTACAGATTTCCCCAGATTTATATGTTCTGCTGTGTGTGTGGTGTCTGTGTATATATATTAATAGTTCTCTGTAATTTTATTACATGTGTATGTTCATGTACTCGCCATAGCTAAGATACAGGACAGTTCCATCACCACAAGAATCCCTCATGTTGTTCTTTTATAACCACACATCCCTCCCCACTTCCCACTCCCTGTCCCTAAACTTTGGCAACCAATAAATTTGTTCTCCATTTCTAAAATTTTGTTGTTAAAAAAAATAATATATAAATGAAATCATAGCAGCATATACCCTTTTAGAATTTTTTTCTTCACTCACCATGATTCCTCAGAGATTCATCTAGGTTTTGTATATCTATCATTTTTTATTGCCGAGTAGTGTTTCATGGTATTGATAACCATATTTGAGTACTTTTAATTACATTTTCCAGTTTACTGTTGATGTATAGAAGTTCAGCTGACATTGAATAATATCATATCCCACTACCTTGTCAGACTACCGTTTATTTCTAATAATTTATCTGTAGTCTTTTTGTATATAAACCATATCATCTGTAAATGATATTTCTCTCCTTTGTAATCCTTATGCCTTTGGTACTGCTGTCTCTCATTCTCTTTCTCTCTTGGTTTTGGACGAACTGGGACATCCAAAGTGGTGATACTAGCCACATTTATCTTACTATTGACTTTAAAAGGAATGCTTCCAGTGTTTCTCCATTTAAGGTGATGTATGTCTGTATAACATTGTTATGAAGTGTGTATTTTATAAAGCCAATTTATTACTAATTTTCATAATATAGTATACAGTTTCAGAAGTGTTAGTAGTGTAGTAAATTTTGAATTGCCTAAAATATTAAGTAGGTATTCATATATATCATCTGATGATACTTTTTAAAATCTGGGGCTTTTTTTAGTGTTGTTATAATTGCGCAGAGTTCAAGTCTAAGTTAAATTGTTTAGTCGCTAAGTTGTGTCCAATTCTTTGTGACCCCCATGGACTGCAGCCTCCAGGCTTCCCTGTCCTTCACCATCTCCTAGAGTTTGCTGAAACTCATGTTAATTGAGTCAGTGATGCCATCCAATCATCTCATCCTCTGTCCCTCCCTTTTCCTCCTGCCTTCAGTCTTTCCCAGCACCAGGGTCTTTTCCAATGAGTCAGGTTTTCGCATCAGATGGCCAAAGTATTGGAGCTTCAGCATCAGTCCTTCCAATGAATATTCAGGGTTGCTTTCAAAACAGTGAATGTTAAGCATTTGAAAAATACCTTTAAACTACTTCAGCCACTTAAAATACATATGCATATGTATATCTTATTTATTCTGTGGTATGGATATACTGCAGTTTATTGAATCATCCATCCATGAAGGACGTGTGCATTTTTTCGGTTTTTGTTACAAATAAAGCTGCTGTGAACATTTGTGTATAGGTTTCTGTGTGAGCGTAAGTTTTCATTTCTCTGGAATAAATGCCCACAAGTGCAGTTTCTGGATCTTATGGTAATTGCATATTTGTGTGCCTTAAAAAAAAATTTGTAGTTCTTTATATATTCTTGACATTAATCCTTTTGTCACTTTTATGTATTACAGAATCTGTTACCACTTTGTAAAGTATCTTTTTATTGTGTTGATGAATGAAAGTCCTTACTTTTAGTATCCTAAAATTAACAATCTTTCTTAGTCAGTGTTTTTTTTTTTAGTTTTACATAAATCTTTTTCTACTCATAGATCAAAAAGATATTCTCTACAATTTTTTAACTAATATTTTGATACTTTGTTTTTGAAATTTATTTTTAATCTATCTGAGACTCATTCTGTTTCATACAAAGGGACCTTACATGTATGGGAATGTTTTTGGCCTTTGTTGCACTGAGCAATATAACTGTTCTTGTACCAACACCACATTTACCACATTGTCCTAATTACTAGAATAGTTTAAGCCTTCGAATCTAGTAGGACAGATCTTTTCTTTCTGCTCGTCTTCAAAAGCATCCTGGCTATTGACTTTTTATTTTTCCATATACATTTTGGAGCCATCTTTTTAAAAACTTTACAAAGAACCAACATTTTTCATTTTACAAAGAAAAGTGAAACATTTTTCAAATGTTGAACATTTGAAAAAGACCTTTTAAGCTACTACAATCACTTAAAATATCTCTATAGTACATATTAAAAGGAGTTTTATTTTTTTTTAAATTTTTATTAGTTGGAGGCTAATTACTTTACATCATTGCAGTGGTTTTTGTCATACATTGAAATGAATTAGCCATGGATTTACATGTATTCCCCATCCCGGTCCCCCCTCCCACCTCCCTCTCCACCCCATCCCTCTGGGTCTTCCCAGTGCACCAGGCC